ACTTAACTGACATTCTCAGGAAAACTTGGCTGCAGTGAGGTCTGGGGAACCGAGATGGTTCTCAAGGAGAACCATCAAACAGAAGACCGCTTTGACCTTAGGGATCTGGGTAGGCTGGAATTATTTGGGTTACTGACACAATTGTCCACTTGTCTTTGCACATGTAGACACACACTTTATGAAGGTACATGCAGGGGACAGAAAGCCTGGGTATCTCATTTGTAGCAAATGGGCACTTTCAAATAGAGAGTGTCAGATTTCCTCATGGATACTCACAATTCAGTAAGTTTCAAAGCTCATAGCCAGGCTTTCTAAACAAGCTTCGTGACCTTCCAGACCTTCCTTGTCAGCCCTATTTGTTACAACTCCCACCACACCATCCACACCATCCATCTGGTGCCCCTGGGCTGCTTGGGCTTACTCCAATATACCTACAGTTTCCACCTTCATGTTCATGCTATTTCCTTTGTGTGGCAAACTCTTACCCAAACTTCAAGATCTCATTCAATTCACTTTCTCTTTGAAGACTTGTCTCCTACCCAAGGCATAATTAGTAACTTTCCCCCTTTTCTGACCTCCAACAGAACAAGGTACAGTGTGAAGAAATGGAAAGGACAAACGTTTTGCTGTCAAAATGATCTGAATTTAAACCTAATTCTTGCACCTACGAACTGTGTGATCTTAGGTGAGTTAGTTAATCTTCCTGAGACTTGTTCCCTGATATTTAAAAATGAAGACTATTAATTCCCTAAATTTACGGAGATCATCAGTGATACTGTATTGCCATTATTTGCCTGCCTATATTTCTCTTTGTGAGGTCCCTGGTGAGAGATCTTGCCTTTTCAATAATTTTGCTGTCCCACAAAGCACCTAGCATAGTGCCTGATGCTTTGCAGCATTCAATGTTTTTTAAATCAACGGACAATTCAAGAAAAGTAACGTAAGCACTGATAGGCCAATTAAAGTCTAGGTTCTTCTGTGAAGTCCTCTCTGGTCATTCGCTTGCCCATTCATTTGAATTCTCATAGCTCTTGTATATACTACTACTAAGGCTCTTGTCACAGCCTGCTTCACACATACTAATTGATTCTAAGCTCCTCCAGGGCAGTAACCATGGCTTTCACTCTGAACTTGACAATTCACAATGCTCTATAAAAGCCAGCTAATTATAGGTTATTTAAAACACCCCATTCTCTTTCTCATTCCAGAGTTTTCCTCCTCAGTTCAGACTGAGTTTGCTCCAACATACTAGAGACTGAGGCCTCTGTTACAATGACTTATTTCTGTAGTCCTACGCTTGGATCAAAGTGAGTGGCATCTCCTGACCCAACATTCCCCACTCTCCATATAGTTGTCACTCCTTTCTTTTTCTTTTTTTTGTTTGCTGAGGAAGATTCACCCTGAGCTAACATCTGTTGCCAACCTTCCTCTTTTTTTGCTTGAGGAAGATTAGCCTTGAGCTAACATTTGTGCCAATCTTCCTCTACTTTGTGTGTGGGTCGCTGCCACAGCATGGCTGACAAATGGTGTAGGTCTGTGCTCAGGAGCTGAACCTGTGAACCCAGGCCACTGATGTGGAGTGTGCCAAACTTAACCACTATGCCATGGGCCAGCCCCTACGTCTCCTTTCTTCAGTGCACTTTCTCTTAATTGTCCTTTGCTTTCTACTTTGGGACAAGAGTCTCCTCATTGACGTATTGTTCTCATGGGGATTTGGAAAACTTAGTTCATTATTTCTTAATTCATAGGCTCATGGAGAATTACCACTGGAAGATAACTTAAAAATCACTGAATCCAGGACCTTAAGTAGAGAACAATTCCCAGTGTTGTGCTAGGCATGACTAATCAATCATGGCACATTTCTTTTTCCTGCTGAGGTCATATAGGGCCTCAGAATCTTTTTCAACACAATATTCCAGGTAGAAATTATCAATCCATCAGTCTACATAGGAGATGAAACTTGTCTGACACCTCTGGTGTAGTTCAAAGCTGTTATTTTGCTAATGAGACCCAAAGAGCAGTGGTGACTTAGTAACGAACTGAAACCAGAACCCAGGTTAATTGACCCTCTTGACTCTCAGTCCAGGGTTTCCCTTCCCATGTGTTCATGGCCTTTCCTTCGATAGTCATTCAAGTCCTAGAATTTATATTCTATTCATTGGCACATACCTAATAGCACTTAACAACATGATTAAAAAGCACAACACCTAAGTTTTGGCCTTATCAAAAAGACATCTGGGCTCTAGTCAATGTTATAAGCTCTTGGGGAGAAGGGGTTATGTTACATTTTGTATTTTTCACAAATTCTAGCCCTGTGTTTGGCAAATGGTAGGTATTTAACAAAAATTATTTGATATGCATCCAACTATATATACAAAACAAACAGGAGATCTATCCTTAAATTCTCACCAAGAATTACTGAAAAATCCTAACCCCTTATATATAAGCAATTTTTGTTTGAAAGTACTCCATGCATGATGACACACAGCCTCACTTTCTTTTTAGAGTGACACTATATATTCAAACAAATTCTCATTTCATCTGAATACTTTAGGGGAAAGTAAGTTATTATAACAAAGACTAGGCTGCCCAATGACACTTCTACTTAAAAATACAAAAGGCAGTGTTGTGGTTTGGGGCTCAAAAGTCCTGAGAAGTGATGGCTTTTCTTCTCGTTTTTCACAGTGATATCTACTGATCATAACTGTGGTTCTGTGTGATGGGCACAAGCCAGAAGTGTTAGAACAGAAAAGTGAAGGAAAGGAGATGAAGAGAAAAACAACAGGAAGAGAAAGAAGGTGGGGGGGGGTGTGGATTTTACAATATGGCAATAAGATACTAGTATTATCACTTAAAAATAGGTTTAAAAAGCTATACAACCCACAGCTAACATCTTACTTAACGGTGAAAGACTGAATGCTTTCCTCTTAAAGTCAGGAATGAGACAAGGAAGGATGCTCTTGCCACTTCTATCCAACATTGTACTGGAGGTTCTAGCCAGGGCAATCAGGCACAACAAAGAAAAAAAAGTCATCAGACTGGAAATAAATAAATAAAATTCTCTCTTTGTACATATGACATGATCTTGTACACAGGAAATCCTGAGGAATCTGTCAAAAAACTATTAGAACTAATAAATTGGTTCAGCAAGGTAGCAAGAGAGAAGATTGATATACAAAATAATTATATGTCTATACACTTGCAATGAACAATCCAAAAATGAAACTAAGAAGACAACTCACATGCAAAAGAATGAAAATGGAACCCTATCTTACATCATATGAAAAACTAACTCAAAATGGATCAAGCACCTAAATGTGAGAGCTAAAAGTACAAAACTCTTAGGAGAAAATATGGCGGTAAATCTTCATGGCCTTGGATTAGGCAATTTTTCCTTAGATATGACACCAAAACATAAGTTACAAAAAAAACCAAAGATAAATTGGACTTCATCAAAATTAAACTTTTGTGCACTTAAGGACACTATCAAGAGAGTAAGAAGACAACTCACAGAATGGGAGAAAATATTTGGAAAGCATATATTTGATGAGTTAATATCTGGAAGATATAAAGAATTTCTACAACTCAATAACAACAAAAGGACCCACTTAAAAAAGGGTAAAGGATCTGAATAGACGTTTCTCCAAAGAAGATACACAAATGGCCAATAAGCACATGAAAAGATGCTCAGCACTGATAGTCATTAGGGAAATGCAAGTCAAAACCACAATGAGATAACACTTCAGACCAAACAGGATGGCTATAAGCAGAAAGACATATAATAAAAAGTGTTGGTGAGGATGGGGAGAAACTGGAACCCTCATACACTGATGGTGGGAATGTAAAATGGTACAAGCATCTTGGAAAACAGTCTGGCAGTTCCTCAAAGTGTTAAACATAGAGTTATCATGTGACCTAGCAAGGTTACTTCTAGGTACACATCCAATGGAAATAAAAATATGTGTTCACACAAAAATTTGTACATGAATGTTCATAGCAGCGTTATCCATAAAAGCCAAAAAATAGAAACAACCCAAATGTCCATCAACTGATGATTGGATAAATTAAATGAGGTATATCCATGTAATGGAATATTATCTGGTAATGAAAAGAAAGAAAGTATTTATACGTGCTACAACATAAATGCACTTTGAGAACATTATATAAAGTGAAGGAAGCAGTTCACAAAAGACCACATAGTGTATAATTACGTTTATATGAGATATCCAGAATAGGCAAATCTATAGAGACAAAGTAGATTAGCAGTTGCCTAGGGAGAGGTAGGGTGGGGTGGCAGTGGAGTCGGGGGAAATGGGAAGTAACTGCTTACAAGATTTCTTTATGGGGTGATGAAATGTTCTAAAATTGATTGTGGTGATGGTTGAATAACTCTAAATATATTAAAAACCTTTGGACTGCATCCTTTAAATTGGTGAATTATATGGTATGTGATTATATCTCATTAAAGTTATTATTAAAAAGATACATATGCATATGAGTAAATATTTTAATTTTGGTGATTAAATTTCAATTAATTCTCTTCTTTTCTATGTCTGTCACAACAATCCATGTATTCACTTAGATGATCCATGTGTATATTTCCATGACCACTGTCTTAGCTTTATAACGTGTAACAGACTAGACACAAGATGAGTAGATATATTTTACAAAATCTATCCTTTTAGAACATTTAATTTAAAAGAAAATAAAGAAGTGAAGACACCTAAACTATCTTTTTCCCTCTTCATTGTAGTCATTACATCACCTTCATCAACATATCATCTCTGCCGACCATTAGCCGTTTTACCCCCAGTATTTAATATATTTGCCATAAATCCACTTTATCAGAAATTACATCATTACTTTTAGCAATACATTTCTAACAGTGATCTACTGTCTGGTGGCTCCATAATTTGTTTGCTACTGAAAGCCTAAATGTTAATTATAGTTAAATCCATGGCAACCAAGAGAACTTCATGTTTCAATTGTTTTGTACCTACCCCTTTTGAATCAATCACTCCAGGTTTTGCATTAAACTTCACTGTCTTCAATCGGGCACGTTCCTTTCTTTCCACCCTAAAGAAAATTGAAAATAAACACTTTATCACATGGCCAGACATTTACAATTAAGTTTCTTATTAAATGAGGAACATTTCTTCTTATCCTACAGCACAAATAAAATACATTCTAAAATATTTCTCTTCCTTTATTTAGAATAAAATGTCTTGGTATAATGTCTCTAAGCTACTAACATATCCCTTGAAATTTCTGTGTTACATGTACTGACAGTCACAGTATTTAGAAGGAACAAAGAGGTAAAAAACCAATATTTGTTATTTAGATGCCTGAATAAATCAATCAAAATCTACTGCAAGAAATCACACTCCACAGAGATGAACACTAAAAGTGGAGACTACGTAAATTTCTCTCCTCTCCTCATCTCTCCTCCCCCTTTCTTTTTGCTTTCTTTTTATTCCATTTCCTTTAATAACACTTGGGTATTTATCTTCACCTTAAAACCCAACATGTTATAGATAATCTTGAATTTTTCCTTTTCCCCAGTGTCCTTATCCTGTCATCTCTGCAGATGTCATCATTTTACCTGGCCCTGCATTCATTCATCAAACACTCGTTGAGTGCCTACCCTCTATCAAGCAAGGAGCTGGGGAACAAAGAAAAACAGTTTAAAAAGCATGACTGCAATGAACACACAGTAATGCGCTCTTGGCAGGAACAGAGACATAAACAAAGACTGAGAATGCTGCATAGTAAGACTGCTGATAGCACTGTGGATGCATCTATCTCATTGGAGGGTGAAGAGGGGTGGAAAGCATTGGGGTGGGCTTCTTGGAGGAGGTGTAAATTTATGTGAGACTTGAAGGATGACAAAGAGTTGTCAGTAGGAAAAGTTCAAGGAGATTTTCTCAGAGAGGAGGAACAACATGTATGGTGACTGGAGGATATAAGCAAGCCAAAGATTGCAGGAAGATTCTGGTACAGGGTATATAGAGGATGAGGATGTGAGTCTGGAGAGGTGGTGGGGCCTCCTTATAAAGGGTATCCATCCATACTAAGAATTTGGGTTTTTTCCTTGGGGAATCCTCATGATTTATTAGAGGATATAACACAGCGAGGAGATGGAATAGATTAGCATTGTAAATAAAGGACCCTGGGGGAGGAGGAAGAAAGACTGGAGGAGGGAAGGGACAGCAGGAAGCAGGATACCTATTTAGAAGGTATGGTCATAATTCAGGCAAGAAATGATGACAAATGATAATGAGGTAGAGGAGAGGGAAGGGCTTGAGAAATATTTATAAAATAAAATTGGTAGGACTTGTGCCCGTTTGAAGGCTGGGGTTGAAAAAGAGGAAAAGAGAGGAATTTAAATATCTCCCCAATTTTTTTTTGAGCGTCTCCAGTTAGACATAATCATTCCTTCCTCCAATCCACACTAGCACTTATGTGGATCTCTACATCGGTAATATCTCCTGTTTCCTTGTATTTTGTTTATTTCACGTTGTACACACAAGGCTTTATGTTCCTTGAGGGCAAGCCCACATAGCACTCCACAGTGTATTACAGCAAGGCCTCGATAAATAACTATTGAACTAAAATAATATTCTTTGTATTGTTTTAACGTGACTTCTTGTTTAAATAGGACTAGCTTTAATTTCAAAAATGAAGAAAGAAAACAGAGAGGAAAAGATGTGAATCTATAGAAACTTAATGGTTTATGAAACCTGAGCTATTCATAGATCAATAATTAACAACACACTCCTTTTTAACTGAGAGCTCTTTTGTGTTTCCAGCTGAAACACAGTGAAGATCAGTGTTTCTATAGTTACAGAACAGAGTTTCAGAATATATTTATTTCAGCATGAGAGTAGAATATTTGAGTAGAAACAGCTGAGCAAAAGTTTAATCTAACCTCAGATATTAAAGCAATATGTTCTACTGAGAGCTCCTCCTCACGTCCAACAACAACAGTTGGTAGGAGAGCAAGGAAGACTTCAGATAAGGTAAGCTGCCAAGTGGGAAGATGCTCACTGAGAAAACGCCTGTTCCGACCTACTTCAGCTTTTCTTAGTTTCAATCCAAGTGCAAATGTTAATTCATAGGCATCTCTTTGAATCCTTCCAAAACTGCTGTCATAGCCCTGACTTTATCCTGGCCTCTTTGCGTCAACCAGCCTAATTATGGGAGACACTAGTTCGGTAGATGATGCCAAAATGACTGTAGCATGTAGAGAAGACATGGTTATTTGATTAGGCTGTGCAAACAAGCTCTGCATAAACCCACAGAACTCACACAGGCCCCAAACATACGTAATATTAGGCTGAACGCAGTAGTCTATTTTAAGAAGGCTTTGGACAGAGTATTCTAATCTTCCCCCCTGGTTTCTGAGTTCATTCTTTTCAGATTTCTTAAGAAATGTCCCTCCGAGGCCATTTTTAGTCATTCATCCCTTAAATCTTAGAAGAGTTGCAAAGAATGTTGTCAGATTTATGGATAGACAGACAGACACATGCATGCACACACACCTAATATTTGCTACAATTTATTATTAATCTTCAAACAGGCAATAGAAAAAGTAAAAAAAACAATTTTTAAAGCCTTGCCATATAGGTGACACGGGTTTGGTTCACTCATAAGGGAAAGTTGGGAAGTTTTGCTTTCTACTTGGGTTGAAAGTCTCATTAATAATGAGAATAATAATAATTGTATAAGTGGTGACTAAGGTTTTAACATATAATTATTAATGAAAAATTCCTTCACATTCACGTCATCCCATTTGGTCCCTGCAATAATCAAGTGATAGAGGTATTATCGACTCTGTTTTGGGGCTGGGAAAGCTGAAACTTGAAGCTTGCCAAATTAGAAAGTGGTAGAAATAGGGCCTGAACATGTATCTGGTAACAGCTAACCTTAGTATCTATCCACATCCACTCAGTTTAGGAAACAGCATTCGAGGACCTTCTATGCTTCCCTTTCCCAATGGGAATTCTCAAAAAACATGAGATTTTGGATGTGTCATGTACAGGTTTAAGGCCAATAAAATTCCTTAGAAGTCTGGGCTGAGTTTTTCACAAATGATAGCCAGCCTCCATATTCCAAATGTCCTGAATTAAATAAACCATAACCGAATTCAAGCATATAGTCACTGAGATTATACTATATCAGAACAGGCTGACCTCAAAATTCAGAATACATTTGCTTTTAACGCTGAAATTCAGGTCAGCTAAATGCTTGTTTGCAACATTACATCACAAGTATTGACTTGATTTCTCTCTTCGGCAGTTTCTTTGCATTCACCGCAACCCCATCATGACTGTGCTTTCCTGTCACAGAGGCCCACTCTTGGGGTTCTCTGCAAACTTCTCTCCTTGGTAGCAGTGGCTGTGGCTTATCTTTTCTTCCTCATCTGCCTCATCCTCATCCTCTCTCCTAGTGCTTCTTGGGATGCACATGGATAGTTTCTTGTTGAAATAGGGCCCAAAATAATGCTGTGTTCTTTTGAGCACCAAAATCTGAAGAAAGGGAAATAGCCATTACTTGAGTATGCACAAAAGTATTAGAGGCTGTGCTAACCACTTTGCCAATATTATCTATAATCTGTACAGTGATCCAGGGCTTAAGATGGAGCTGGGTGTATAGTAGGTGCTTAATGAATCTTTGTTGAATGAATGAATGAATGAATGAATGAATGAAATAATCCTCAAGGATGCTACTAGTTCTTGACCTGGATGTGAAAACTAAGACTCAGAGAGTTCAAGTGACTTGCCCAATTGATCAAGTGTTTCTGATACAAAGTTGTTCACCATGTCATGACTTTTTCACTTCGTAAGAGTCTATATCAAAGTTTATAGCATTACCTTTTCTAACAATTTTACTAAGTATCCTTGGGCAGAAACAGATATATTAAGGTCCACATATCTTTACCTAAGGAAATGGTGGACCACCTGTATAGAGAGACTGAATCTCTATAAGAAGTATTGCTTAACTTCTCTCATACTCGAGGCAAACAATTAATTAGATTGTTTAAGCAGAAATAATCCTCTCCGCCCTAGTTTGGTCACTGACCAAAATTCTGAAAATATAACTGGATGGCGAAATTTGAGCAATCAATTCTGACACCTAGTATCTCCAGAGAGTACCAAATGGTCATGCTTTAATGAGCCCAACTGTCTCCCTCTGCCCTCTCACCCATCTCCCATCTGGCATTTTCAGGTTCTGGCCAAACACATAATGAGTCAGGCTTGGAGCACTGACTGACGGTGGCAGCATCATTTGCTGCTGGGTGTACATTTGCCTGTGCCCCACAAGGCACTGTTGTAGGAAGAATGGAAATGCCATCCACATTAGTGGTCACGGGCTTTCTGTGAAGGCTAGGTGCGTAAGCCCTTATGCAACGCTAAGTGTAAGCTGTCATCCAAGAGCTCAGGTGACCAGTCACTGTGGGGTAATGAATAGAAACTTGGATTAAGAGACTGTAAAACAAATCCTAGCTTTGTCACTCACAAACTATGTGATCTCAGAGATTCTATGCTAAGAGCCCAGGTTTTGAAATCACATAAGCCTGGGTTTGAATTCTGCATCTGCCATGTCAGCTCTGTGACTTAGGGCAGGTCGGTCAACCTCCTAGGATCTCAGGTTTCATGTTGGTAAAGTTAGAATATTAACACAGATTTCAAAACTTATGGTGAATGTTAAATGAGCTAATACAAGAAAATTGTTTAGCACAGTGCCTGATACATAGTAAGAACTCCTTAATTGGCAAGGGCTCCTAGTATACTGTCGGTGAGGTGGAAAGCCATCTGGTCTCGCTACCAGAGAGACCTGGGTTCAGTCAGTAGCTGGCTGTGCATCCTTGGGCAAGTTGCTTGACTTCTCTGACCCTCAGTTTCCTTATAAGGCTTTTGTGAAGATTAAATGAAACCGTGCATTTGAAAGCACCTGGCACAATACATAGTTGGTGCTATCATCAGATGGAATTCATCCCTCTGTCTGCTGCTCTTTCACTTCTCTATGTTTGTGTCTTCCAAAAATTGTTTGTTGAAGCCCTAATCCCCAGTGTGGTGGTATTTGGAGATGGGGCCTTTGGGAGATAATTAGGTAGGAGGGTGGAGCCATCATGAATGGGATTGATGTCCTTATAGGAAGAGACAAGAGAGAAATGATCTCTCAGCCATGTGAGGATACAGCAGGAAGGCCATCTGTAAACCAGTAAGAGGACTCTCACTGGGAATCCAGTTGACTTTGAACTTCTCAGTCTCCAGAACTGTGAGAAATAAATGTCTATTTTTAAAGCCACCCAGCCTGTGAAATTTTGTCATGGCAGCCCGAGTTGATGAGGACAGTACCTTTATTTATGACATAGCCCTCATTGACCTAATCACAGTGTAGCTGTGCCATAGTTACATGTTGGTCCCACAAATATTGGGCTCCAGACAGTGACCAGATGACGGCACCTGGCACACAGATGCTGTTCAAGCAATGCTTGCTGAATTAAATTTTGTCAAGTCTTATGTTTGTAACTTTGGAAGGCAGGATTACATATAAGTTAACAGCATCAATTCTATAGCCTGGATTCAAATCCCACTTCTGCCACTTACTAGCTGGGCAATTTCAGGCAAGTTAATTAACCTCTCTATGCCTCAACCTCCTAATTTGTAAAATGAGAATAAAAATAATATCACTTCCTTTGTAGGGTTGTAATGAGGTTTAAATAAATTAATTTGTAAAGGGCTTAGAAGAGTGTCTAGCATGCTCTAGGAGTGTTTTGTTAAATAAAATTTATTCGCCATCATCAAAAAAAAGAGAGGAGGGCAATAATTTTCATACTCTTCACCTTGGTTTCATTGGGATGATTAAATGGAATCATCAACTGAGAAACATTTTTATAAAGGGTAAAGTCATACACTGATGTTATCCAGTATGACATTTTCCCAGACCAGCTCTACTAGATGCACTGTACTCAGAAAAGGGGTGGAGAGGAATTAAAGATTGAAAAAATAACCCCAATCTAATAGTAAATCATATATATACCAGCTACCATTTATTCTGGGCTGTAGTTTTAAGATGCTGAGTGTAGTGATAAATGAGAGTACCTCATTTAGAAGTAAAGCATTAAAGAGCAGGCCCAGGACAGGCTCACGACAGATTTTAAATTGCATTAAAATAAATGCATAAGAACTGTTCGTGGGTATGATGATAAGTGATTTTTTATTTCTTCTTTATACTTTTCTAAATTGTTCCACTTTTCTACAATGAAATGTGTTACTTTTATAAACATTTAAAACAACAATAATAACATTTTTTGAAAGACTTAAAATCCTAAGGGAAACATTTGACAGAAATTCATTTATGGCATGAACACACACACACACACACACACACACACACACACACACACAGAGTTGGGGAAGCTACTGCCCCCTTCATGAGATAGATGTGAATAAGTATCAGTATTAGAGAGAGTAGACAAACTTCCTTTTCAGGCTGGCTGTAGCATGGTTGTTAAGACGGTTTTCATCCAAAATAGGAGAGATAGCCAACGTAAGGGAATTAAGAGATACAAACTTCCAGTTATAAAATAAATAAGTCATAAGGATGTAATGTACATATAGGCAATCATATTGGGAATACAGTCAATAATGTTCTAATAACTTTGTATGGTGACAGATGGTAACTAGACTTGTGATGGTGATTTCGTAATGTATATAAACATTGAATCATTATGATGTACGCCTGAAACTAATGGGTCATTGTATGTCAGTTATACTTCAACAACAATAAAAATAGAATGATCACCAGCAGATGAAAAATTACGTCAAGAGGAATAGCACCTAGAATATTCCTTAGGGAGAAAATGATGCACAATTGAACAAATGTAGGACCATTGACACGATTGACTAGTATCACAGAACCTCAGGATTGGAAAAGGCCTGAAAAGCATAGTTCTACTCTCCCATCCAAAGCTTGAATTCCTTTTATAAATTTCCCAACATTGGATCTTCTATTGTCAGAATCACCTGGAGGCACTTACAAACAAATACAGACTTCCAGGACACACCCCAGACAGAATCTTAGTGTGTGTGTCTCTGTGTAAGGTGGGGGGGAGGGGTGTCAGAGAAGGACAGAGTGGGCATATCTAACTAAGTTTTTATAATGTTTCCTTTGCATGAAAACCATTGTTCTAGTCCACTATCATCCCAGGTCATCCATTCCATCTCTACGCAGTTCCAACTAGTAAAAGAACTTCTTTAAAATGAGCTGAAATCTATTCCCACATAGCTTCTCTTTCTCCACTCCATTTCCACCCTTGGAGTCATATTCAACAAGATGACTCCTTGTCCTTAGCTTAGTAAATAGTCTAGTTTATTTGATTTTCACCTGGCCTTTTTATAAAATTATCTGGTAAATTTGGAACATTTGAGATAACCCCTGTGAGCGTTGAAGTCAACATACAAGCTTATGAGCATAATCTTGAACATGTGAACGCTGGTGAAAGTTTTAGGACGGCAGTGTGAGCAGATCTTCTTTCTTCTGCTCTGCTTTATCACAGCCACCAGTTTTGGTAAAACTTTAATATGAGGAGAGTGAGAATATTTAATTCATGTCACCTGGCATCACTGGCCATTTCCCTGCAGATTGACTATCCCACTCAAGTAGATATTTTGTGAACACAGTTTGCCACATCTTCATCTTCCCTCATCTCCACTCTCTGGGTGGCTGAAAAGCAAATACCCTGCAGTAGCAAAGGCAAAGGCGTTCTTACCTCCGTTTGCTGGGGATGACTCCCATCTCCTCACTGTCTCCCTCCAGGGTGACTCTCCTGGCTTGCCACCACTCATCATCAGAGGCGTTGATAACATGGAGAATATCTCCATATTTAAAACTAAGTCCTTGACTTGGCAGCCCACTGTCCTTGCTCTTGTCATAGTCAAACATGGCTCTGGAGGAAATGACAAGAGAGAACTTCATTAGGAATCCCTGGCAGCACGGATTTAGGATTCACCATTTTGATTATTCACTCTCACCCTGAGAACCCACTGTTCATTTGATGCCATCTCCCTAGACTAACTCCCAGAATCAGAGTCCACATTCCCACTGTCTTGGTCACAAATAGAGGTTACTTCTTACTTCTCCTTGAAGGTTTCAGAGGCAGCCTATAGACCCCTAAAACTGGGGTACTGCTTCTTTTCTGGGAGACCATTACATGTGACAAGGTGCTAACCGGAGATAGTAAGGCAGTTTAGTACCTAAGTGTAACTTTTTTCCCTCCCACTACAATCAAATTTTAAAAATCACTAAAAGGAAGAAAATAATGAAGAGAACACAGACATATTTCTGAATGAAGTATTTTGTGTTATAAACAAATCCTCTTACTTGTATCCGTCTGTAGAACTCTTTCCTTTATAATAGGGGAAAAATGGTAACAAATGTCCATCCACAGGGGACTGTAACCATTCCACCCAGTGGAATATTGGAGCATCACTGAAATTGGATGGTTGCGGAGGGTAAGATAATGACATGAATAAATGTCATTTCAAAACGCAATAATGAAAATATATACACTTATGTTTATGTGTGTGTATATATAGATTAGATTGAAATTATATAAAGACAGATCTTTTTGCTTCCCTAGAATGCTGAACTTATCTCATCATTGCATTTATCATTCTGAATTGTAATTCTTGCTTTATGCATCATGTTTCCCCACTAAAAAGCATTTGCTGAGCCTTTGCTGAGCCCAACACACTGTAATATGTGTGACTGGTGGAGTGAGAGAGTTGGAAGCAGAATTAAAATGACTCCTGAGACCTTAGTAACTAGCTGCTGCCTTAAGAAACTGACAATTTGTCTCAAATCCTATATTGTCCGCCCCTTCCCATATGCCCCCCCCCGACAAACCATCGCCACACACAGATAGCATTTGACGCGATTTCTCTGGAAAGGCAGATTTTGCCACCTCCCTTTTTATTCCCCTTTGATTCCATTCTAAGAATTTCTTTAGAGTGTAACTACTATGCGTGCAAAACTGGCTAGATCTGGGGAACAGATTTGCTAAAATCGCTGAGGACCAAGCGTGGCTCTTTTCCTTTCTTTCTTCTTCTTTTTTTTTTTTTTATCATGAAAGAAATGTCACATCTGCTGTCATGGCAACCAAAAAGAGCTGAAGACAGCATCTTGAGCTCTCAAATACTGCAGGAAAAGTTGAATGACTTGCAACACGGCCCCCTCTTCTATTAACTCTGTCCCCAAGTGATGGGATATAGGGAGAGTTTCTCGGTCTCAGCTCCCGGAATGATTAATTCCCAACTTGACCATCTACATCTTCCATACAAAAGGCTTCAGCAAAACCCCAGCCAGGAAAAGGGGGCTGAGAGGGCGGAGTCCCACTCCTGATGCTGTCAATTCTCTGGCTGGGTGATGTGACATAAATTAACAAACATTCCTGAGCCACAGGTTTTTAAATGCAAAATTAACTCAATAACTATATTCATATGGAGCTGCTGTGAACATTGATAAAGCAACGCATATGAAACACCCAGCCACAGTAGGCATAGTATAGTGGTTAAGCATCTAGATTTTGGGGGGCCAACCTGGTAGCATAGAGGTTAAGTCTGCATGCTCAACTTCTGTGGCCCAGGGTTCTCAGGTTCGGATCCCAGGTGCAGACCTAGCACTGATTGTTAAGCCCCGCTGTGGTGGCATCCCACATACATAAAATAGAGGAAGATTGGCACACAGGTTAGCTCAGGGCCAATCTTCCTCACAAAAAAAAAAAAGAAAAAGGAAAAAGAATATAGACTCAGGGGTGACACTGTTAGGGCCACATCCTGGTCCTGCTACTTCTTACTAGTCATATAGCTGGTTACCCAGGCAAGTTACTTAACCTTTCTTAGGTCTCAGTTCCCTCATTTATAACATAGTGATGATGATAACAGCACCTCCATGATGGAATTGTTATATGGATGAAACATTACATTAGGTAATACACGTAAAGCAAGCACAACAGTCAGGACCTGTGAACTGTTGCTGTTATTATTATTATTATCTTTCCTTTCGAGTGTATACTCAGAAAAATTCTTTCTACAGATTCTACTTTGTGTGAAAAAGAGTTAACATTGCAATCCTGAGACTGCTGTCCTTAAAAAGGTCTATTTGCAGGGCCAGCCCAGTGGTGCAGTGGTTAAGTTTGCACATTCTGATTCTTGGCGGCCTGGGGTTCGCCAGTTTGGATCCTGGGTGTGGACATGGCACCACTTGGCAAAATTCATGCTGTGGTAGGCATCCCATGTATAAAGTAGAGGAAGATGGGCACGATGTTAGCTCAGGGCCAGCCTTCCTTAGCGAAAAGAGGAGGATTGGCAGTAGTTAGCTCAGGGCTAATCTTCCTCAGCAAAAAGAGGTCTATTTGCAAGGACGGCCCTTGGCTGATATCCGGGAACTTAGATTTTGGGATTTCTCACTATTTCCTATTAAGAACAGCTCACTGGGCCTAAACTGCATAAACAATATCATTCATGCTAAACACTTCCTTTTCTTCTGGGAGTCTGGCATTACAGGACATGCCAGGCAGACAGTGCCTGTGTGAACAGCCCCCAGTAAAAACCCTGGACCCTGAGTCTCTAATGGGCTCCTCTGGTAGACTACATTTCATACCTGTGTCAGACTATTGCTGGAAGAACTGGGGTGACTCCGCTGGGAGAGGACTCTTGAAGCTCGCACCCAGTTGCCTCTGGACTTTGCCCCATGTTCCTTTCCTTTGCTGATTTTTCTTGTATCCTTTTGCTACAATCAGTCATATTCTTGAATGTGACTATGCCGAGTCCCATGAGCCTTCCTGGTGAATCACTGACCCTGGGAATCGTCTTGCGGACCCCTCAACACACTCTATAGGTTGTAAAGCATGTTCACATACACTGCCTCACCTGTGACTCAGTCCACTCCTACAAAGAAAGTACGATGGATATAGTGTGATCCTCTTTTTACAGACGAGGGACACACCTAACGAGGCCCGCTGACTAATCCCAGCATACAGGGCTTAGGGGCAGCAACCTCTGGCTCGAACTTGGGTCTCCTAATCCCGAGTCCTAGTTCAGTGCTCTTTACCTTATTGCCCGCCCCTCAAACTGTGAGGTGGTGGAGGCGGTGACAAGGTGGCAAGGATGATAACCACAATGGCAACCACTACTTATTCCCATATAGGGGCCTGGCACTTTAGTTCATTGTCTTATTTGACATCATTACAACCCTAAAGGTAAATATTAGTATCCTTGTTTTATAGCTGAAGGAAGGAGGCTCAAGATGCTAAGGGACCTAACTCAGTCACACATCCACATGGGGTAGAGACTGAATCTAGAATAAAGTCGGTCGGACTCCAGAATCCACATTCTTGGCCATTTCATTCGGCAGGCTCAATTTCCCAGCCTGTTGCCCTCTGGCCACGTTCAGGATTTAGCAGTGTCGGAACTTTTAATCTTCCTTTCAGCGCTGACCGCCTCTTCCCTTCCAGATCCCTGAAGTTCCCTTACTGGTCTGTTCCTGTCCCAGTATTTCTTATCCTGAAAGTCCTTGAACCTCTGGTTTGCCTCTAGGCTCCTTCCAGATGTAAAGTGTGGGGAACGGAGATAGAAAAGCCATCAGGAAAGCTGGCAGGTGGTAGTCAATAGGGTTTGCAAGTTTCTAACTGTCTGATCTTAAACAAGTTACTTAACCTCTCTAGGCTTCAAGTTTTCTTAACCGTAAAACTGGCATAATAATAGCACCAGCTACCTCAAAGAGTTGTGATGAGGATTAAATGAAATAATATATGTAATATATTGCAACACCAGGCTGGCGCTAGTGAGTGCTCAATAAATGGTAGCTACTATTACTATTACAATTGTTATTCTGAAAAACCTACTGGGCTTTGAGTCAGGGGATTTGGGTCCCAATTGTGCCTCTTTGTAGCTGTCTTGCAGACTGTGTATAAAGACATCTAAAACACCTTTCTATCCTCAGAACCCACTATAGCGCTGGCACAAAGTACATCCTCAACACAGGTTGTGGAAATGTTTCAGATGACCTTTCAAAGACCTACTTCCCTCAAGCGTCAGCATCCCCATGTGTAAGGGAGAGGAGTATAGACTGTTCCTGAAGGTTCCCACCAGGTGAGACATTCATTCTACAGTGCTTCATTCTATTCCCAAGAGTCCTTGAGGGTAGGTTTCCCGCTTCTGCCTTCAGCAATAGGTGTCCCCAGCAAGCGGTCCAGCAACATGTTCTTTCCATGAGTTTTATTCATCTCAGATAATCTGCCCCTTTAGCCTTACACTGATCAGACTTGTCAGGTCCCTGAAAACAAGCAGCTGACACATTTCAACAGCTTCTGGCTCCTTTGGATACTAATGGATCCTCACGTCTGGGAAAAATGTTACAGTGCCCCATCCACCTAATTTAAAAAGCGATAAGTTGTTTTTAATTTGTTTTATGTGCTAATTCATCACAGCAACTTTTATAAAATGCCATTAAGACTCACACTTTCCACCCAGGGTGCTTTTAACAAGTCCATTAGACAAGTAGAATTAGACACGAATAACTCAACGACTCTCCCATCCCTCATGCCCCTCCTGCATTTCAACGTGTGGTGGCCCCTTGCCAACTGGGGAAGTCTAGTCAGGAAGGAGTGAAGCAGCTGCTCATCTTCAAGGGCTGTGCAACATGCTGTGAGATACCTGAATACCTCACTGAAACTGTGCGTATGAAATGCCCCACAACACGCTAAAGACTTTATATTCATTGTCTCACTCTGTTTACTGCGTAGGCAAGACAGCATATGGGTTATAGGCCAAGTCTTGGAGAGAGAAGAGACTTACACTTAAGTACCAACTCTGCCACTCCTAGTTGTGACTTCTGGGCCTGTTAATCTCTTAGAGACCTGTTAACCATAGATGACCATTTCCTCAT